GATTTTTGGACGACATTCGTGTCCGCAGGTCGCCCGCGCACGCAAGTCGCGGTTTTTCTTCTCCGAATTCGGGATTTGATTTGCACCCCCCCCCCCCCTGCGCGCGTGGAGAGAGCCTTTACCCTTAAGAATCTTAACTCCATAAGGGGGAAGTCCCTTTATAAAGGGTAGCAAATCCCTTGGGTTTTCCGGTGTGGGAAATTAACACACTAGAAACCCATCCTTTTTCCCTTCTAACGGGTAAACTTCGAAAAGCGATTTCTCATTCACCCGTTATCCGTTTTGAGCGTACCATATATCGAATTGTAGCCCTTAACAAGGACAATCCGAAACCACTTTGACCCGACCCAAATCGGAAGTGGACCCCACTCAAAAAATTGCCCCAAAATAGCCATTTAATGCAATTTTTCACACATTTTTCCAACAATATTGTTATAAAAAACTCAATTTTTATTCCTCGGATCATATTTTTTTTATTCCTCAGATCATACTCCGTATTAGACAACTCATATTTTCAACTTATCAGCTTCATTAGTTAATTTTTTGTTACACATAATTTTTAGGTTCACACATAATTCATTAGCTTCATTGCACATAATTGTAATATAATCAAAATAAATAAAATTGTAATCACTTTTTTGCTAGTTGGTAGAAGTTACTGTAGAGACCATTTAATTACTTTTTTATATTTTTTTCTTTAATTTAAAATTAAAAAAGCTTTAGATATGATTTTCTTATAATATAACATATTTAGCCACTTTGATCATGCATCATTTCATCAATTTCAATTAATTTTAATGTTACCAAACAAGCTATAACTCTAGTTCTACAATCCACTCAAATTTTCGAGCCTAAAACTACTTTTAGGTTAATTTGCGTGATAAGCATTTTAGTTCATATGTCCCTAATAGTTTGAACTATCTTTTACTAGTATAAAGTAAAGTGTCAATCCCAAGTGATTGCTTACTAATGATCTCCATTAATTCAGAGCCCGTTTGATAACACTAAAATTGGCTGTATTGGCTGATTCTGCTGAAATTTATGAAGTTCTGGCTGAAGTGGCTGTATTCGCTCATTCAGCTGAATCATGAAAAAATTATATTTAAAATATTTGTTATTAATAAATAAAATAAAAAATTATATGAAAAAATAGCTAAAAGAGATATTACCCGAAATAGGACTAAAAAGGTTTGAAAATTCCAAAATAGGACTGTCATGTTTTTGTTCCCAAAATAGGACTAATTACTGTCATGTTTTGGCAGTACCAGACTTCAAACATGGCAGTATTTTCCAAACTTGGCAGTAATTACTCCTATTTTGGGAATAAAAAACATGGCAGTCCTATTTTGGAATTTCCAAACTATTTTAGTCCCATTTCGGGAACTTTCCATAGCTAAAATGATCATCTACAGTAACTTCAGCCAATCCAGCCAGAAAAGTAACTCCAACCTTACTTTTTCTGCTTATTACACAATTTAGCGAGCGAAATCAAAAGTTACGTGTTTGGTGAAAAAGCTGACTGATAAGTCTGATAAGCCGAAAATAGGGGTCACCAAACGGGCCCTCAGTCACTACCAAATCGGTATGTGATGTTGTCATGTGGCCCTTGGATGACAAAGTTATTAATACGTCCCTCCAATTTATTGGACCATTGTTTGATAGTTTATCAAATGTAAAATGTTTGCTGACTCTTAATTATACAATTTTTAACATTAGTTTAACTAAAATATCACAAATATTAGACACATTTTAAATAAAAACATTTACTTTTATGGACCATCTCTCTTTTTTATTTTTAGTTTCAATTTTAACTAGTTTAAACTAATACTCCCTACGTCCCGCTATGATTGTCCCATTTTACCTTTTCGGTCCGTCCCACTAAGATTGTCTCATACCTTATTTGGTAAAGTTTGCGTGGTTGTAAATCATTCTTACTTTATTCTTACTTTATCAATTCAATATCAACCACATAAATCCACTTTTATTAATAATTGTGTCACCTTCTCTTGTTCCAAACTTAGGGGGACGGAGGTAGTAGTTGCTAGGATACTCTTTATTCTACGGAAGATAAGTTAAGTTGTCCATCTATGAAAACAAATTGAAGTACTTTCGTAACTAAATTGGAAGTACTTTCATACGTCCATCCAAGTTGTCCATGGAATAGACTCTTTATTCATGAAAGATAAAATGAAATATTTTATGAACTCCAATGCAATTTTAAAAGAGAAAACTGTCAAATAGGTCTTCGAACTTTCATAAAAAAATCAATTAAGCCTTCTATAAGAGACTCTATCCGGCTGTCGCGATTTGGGGCGGTTCCCGGTGAAATTTTTTGATGAAATTTTTTGAGCATCTTATTCATCAAATCTAGTTTACTCATTCCAAATTTCAGCTAAAAATTCAATTCGGAACGTATTCAAATTAATTCAAGAATGCAAAAATGCGCAGTCATCTTCACGAATTAATTTGAATGTGTTCCCGATTGAATTTTTAGCTGATATTTGGTATGAGTAAACCAGACCTGATGAATAAGATGTTCAAAAAAATTCATCAAAAAATTCCACCGGGAACCGTCCCAAATCGTGACGGCCGGACAGTACCTCCTACAGAGGACTTAATTGACCTTTTTATGAAAGTTCAAGGACCTATTTGACAGTTTTCCCATTTTAAAAACAATCGAATCCAAATACTTGTTTCAAAACCATATGCACACTACAAACAAGCACGAGCCCGGTATCCAAAAAGAACTGTATCTACCCGACAAATAGACCTACACAAACAAGGTCAACCCACCTAGCACGCCAGCATAAATGGGCGGACTTGTGCATATATATTTAGTTATTCACCTACCAACCCGACCCTGACTCGGCCCACAATAGCATATGGGGCGAGATTGGGCTAGGGTCTAGACCCATTTGGGACGATAAAACCGCCCTGCTACATTAAGTATATACATACATGTATATATACATGTAGAGCTTTTCTCATCAGCCCAGACTGACGAATCATGTTCGACCAATCCCGTTTGAGAGTCTTTCAGGTGATTTTTTTGATAAAATTTTATAAGCATGTCATTCATGAAGTGTAGATTATCTCTACAAAATTTTAAATTAAAATTCAACGGGGAAGTTTGTTAGATAAATTAGTGAAAAACATTGCGTTTTAGCGGAGGACAAATCAGTTAACTAAATTCTTTTTCATACTTCATTCTGCCTCTACCTTTCTCTATGTTGTCCAAAAGATAGACTGAACATGCCTCTAAACATAAGATTTTAAATTTTAAAAATAATACTTTGTACTTGAACTTTAAAATTTTAATATAAAACTATCAATTTGGTCCTCGTATTATCATGAAAACGTCAATTATGTCCACGCACTTTAAAAATCAATCAAATCCTTGAACTTTGAAAAAATATCAATTAGCAGGCCATCAGCAGGTCATCTACAAACGTGGCGCACACATGAGAGTCCACGTGTGTGCTGTGCGCCGCATCAGCAAAGTCACTGTTGGCTGGGCTGCCACATCAGCAGGTGACTTGCTAACATGATGGGTAAGGGGCTGTTTACCTAGGACTTAATGGACTTAATAGATATGATGACTTAATTATTTAGTTATAAAGTTGTGTTTATTTGAAACTTAATGGAAATGATATCTTATTCGCTCAGACCAATCTTAACTTAATCGTTCAGCCCAAAAACTATAGTCCTTCTGCTTCAGACCTCCGAACAGACGAGTTTCCCTCTTTTAACCTCTGGGATAATAATTTCGCCCTCTGAAAAAGTTTCTCCCTTCACATAAACGGGGCAACGAATGATCATCTTCTCTGGGAGCATCGAAACCTCCATCATCTTCCGTATTTCTCTAGATTATTGCTTTAATTGTATATTTGCAAAGTTCCTCTATTTTATACGGAGTATCAAAGTAGAGTTTCGCTTCCTTGAACATATGGTTCTCATTTATTCATCAAGGTAAGGTTTGTTTAATTAAAATTTGCGTAGCTCTTCTCTTCAAATTTTAGATTATTGGTTACTAAATTGAATTTTTGTAGCATGTGTGTTGCCTTTTTTGGTGATGAGGGTGAACGAGTAGTTCTTGTCCCTACTTAGGGTAAACTATTTTCGTAATTTTTAAAAAATTTCTAATGTGTTTCTTTATTTTCGTAATTCATAGTATAATGATTTCTAGACTATGAAATTATCTTTCTGGAACTTGTTATTTGGTGGTCTGAAAAGTAAATAATGAATTTAAGATATAAAATATGCATTCAGGAGTTATTTAAGACAAGAGGATGTTTTGGTCATTTAGCATAATTCAGACTTTTCATTTAGCACACATAGTAAACATTTCATTATCTAGATGTAACTTGCTAATTGAACCAGTTGAACAGTTTTTTAATTTTTTTTAACTACAGAAATTGACCTAAATAGGAGTAAAAACGTTTTGAAATTCCAAAATAGGAGTATCATGTTTTTTATTCCCTGAATATGAGTAAATTTTTGCCAAGTTTGACATTACAAGGCTTTTTAACATGGCATTTTCTTCCAAACTTGGCAGATTACTCTTATTCAAAGAATAAAAAACATGATACTCCTATTTTGGAATTTCAAAACGTTTTTACTCCTATTTAAAGAATTCTCTCTTTTAAGTATGATAGAGTTTATTGACATTTTCGTGATAGTATAAGAATCAAATTATGGTTTATGACATTATTAAAACTTAAAAAGTACATAATTATATTTCTATATATAATTAGTGACCTATAAACATTATAAATTTATAACCCGGTCCTCTTCCGTTTTTGAGGGGGTCTGCCCACAAACAAGCACATCTCTCTTGTATCCAAATACAGATAGGGTAAAAAAAGCAAAAATCATGGGGCATTCCGAGAATTGAACTCGGGACCTCTCGCACCCTAAGCGAGAATCATACCACTAGACCAAATGCCCTGATTGGTATGCCTTTTTGCTTTAAAATTAAAAAAGTAAAATAATTACTGGACAGTCGCTAAACCCTACTAGTCGAAGGGAGAGAGACATTGCAAAATTGTGCAGCTGAATCCCACCGCTAGCTAAAATGGCAGGAGCTGCAGCCCTTTTTCGTTTGGCTCGATCTCAGGCCGCTCATTTCAACCCTTCCAACTTCCGTTCAGGTTCTTTCCCTGTTCTTCTGCACTTCAATTCTGAACACCCTTGTCGTTTTGTTTCCAGCTGATGCAATTTTCATTGGTTCACCGTCCGATGGTGTTCATGTTTATCAAAGACATCTGCTTGGAAGTGAAAATTTAGAATCTGGTTATCTTCTCTTGAAGCAATTCATATCGTAAAGTGAATTTAGCCGACTCTGTGCGGATGGTGTACAATGAATGTCTGGCAGTTCAATATGTTTGCTCAAATTTATCATTTTCATTAGCATACGTTAAATTATAATGGAGTTTCCTGCTAAATCAAGCGTGATGGCTGCTTTTTATGATTGAGAAGGGTAATATACTGTTTGTGGTGACTTGATTGACCCCTCTATTTCTGGGGAGCAACGTTCACTTTTTCTTTCATTAATATGGTTTTAGAGAAGTGAATGAACTAATGAGACTACACATCCTTACTATATAACTTAGGCGTGACTGTAGCATATGTAATCTGCCTATTCACCTCACTTGTTGATGTTTGTTTTGTATATGTGGATAAAACATTAATCCAGTGTTTTTGAGATACAAGAATAAGTAGATCGAGTTTGTTCTTTAATCTCCACGATAGCCCTTTTGTCATGAGCACATTACACATACCATTGTGTACTATGGCTTAGTGTTTTTTATGATAGCCCTTTGCTATTTGCACTTTTTGCTTTTTGAATTTCATGTTTGGAATTTTTCTATACTAATGCTCAATCAAGGTTCTATGTTTCAGTTATCAAAATACAAAAAAGAACAAAGTACTTATTTTCTCCTTACATATTGATGCTATGGGAGCGGTTGAGCTGAAAAGTATTTTTACGGTGAAAACTGAGAAATAATGTAAAAGTTATATATTTGACTTTATAACACAAGTTTAATGAATTAATAGTTAATTAGAACAAATATATCTGGTAAATAAATAAATACGTTTTTGAAAAAAAATTGTAAATATCTTTCAACTGCTACTAGTGTTTTTCATTGTAGTCTCATACTTTCTCAATTTATCACTATAAAATTATACCTTTGATTTAGGGTTGTTTGAGTTATAAGTTATGGTTTGTGTTTTATAAATTACGTTATTGCGTCTATGAGTTAAACGTCACAATTTTCAGCCTAAGACATACTTCACACGTAATCTTTTCCCATGTTGCCATAGTACACAATGGTATGTGTAATGTGCTCATGTAAACAATTTTTGTTGAATCTAATTTAATTTGAAAGAATAATAAGAGTCCTGATTCAAAAACTTAATTTTGTCGTATGCGATAACATGACGAGTTCTGTTTTAACAAGTGAAACTGCTATTAATTGACTTTGAGGCAAAATGATACTTTGGTCTCTCATTTTGGTCTGCATTTTGATATGTAGTCAATGTCATCTAATAACGTTGTCGCTCAATTATGTAACATGTTAATTTGGTCTCTGCCATTGATAATTTAACAAACTCTGCTACATTATTAATGGTGGAGACTATATTTAAAAAAATTTGCACAATTAAGGGATGACATTTGAAACATGTCGCATAATTAAGGGACAGCATTTGCACACAATTATGGGGTGGCATTTGCACAATTTATGGCAGAATTTGCTACATTAGGGACGGCAGGCTACATTTCTCAGCGTGAAAAAATGAGTGACCAAAAGTGGGATTTTCTCCAACTTTAGTATTGTTGTTTTGACTTTTGAAAAAAATTGTGAGTCTCCCTGACTTCAATTATTTGTTTTCCAGACAGATATTCAATACAAGCCAATGGCTAAACTTTGTTCAACAAACTAATAATTTTAAAAAAGTAAGTAGGGGGGATAGTTTACATGAGCTTTACCATATCAAAGTTAGATAGTTGTACCTTGATCAAACAAGACATCTTTTGTGACAGATGGAGTATCTAAATTGTGGCTACAAAGAAGCTGGCTAGTGGATGATTGCCACAATTACCCATACTCCTATTCTTTAGTTCAAACATAATTTCTTTACCAGTAGTTAACATAAGTGAAATCAACAGGTTTTTATTTGGGTAGCTATGAGACCTTATCTCATCCACATGCTAGAGCAGATAACCAGAAGAAGTGGTTATCTAAATCAACATCAATAGGAGAAGAAAACAAGATCAGCGTTGGACCTCGCAAAGACAATGGTGATGTGGCAAAGGATGAAAAGGACTCAGGTGTGGTGTATTATGGTCCAATATCAAGCACCATCAAGAAAGTGAAGCTTCTCTCTTTGTCAACTTGTTGCCTATCTGTATCCTTAGGCCCGGTGATAACCTTCATGACATCACCTGACATGAATGTGATTGTAAAGGGAGCAGTGGCGTCTTCTGTAATATTCTTAAGTGCCACCACCACAGGTGCCCTTCACTGGTTTGTTAGCCCTTATGTTCACAAACTCAGATGGCAGCCTGGATCAGACTGCTTTGAGGTGGAGATGATGTCATGGCTGGCAACTTTTATCCCAAAGACTATTAAGTTTGCAGATATCAGGCTGCCGCAGACAAACAGACCATTTGTGACTTTCAAGGCAAATGGGGATTTCTATTTTGTTGATGCGGACCATTGTCATAATAAAGCATTGCTAGCAAAGTTGACCCCAAAGGAACCATCCCATGGATCAGCTTTGAAGAACCTGTGATGAGAACCAACTGACTCTTCTGGATCAGTTTTTGGTGCCCTTTTCCCTTTTTTCCTTTGTGCCCGCCCCTACTCATGGAACTGATTTGTCAAAGGAGAAGAGAACTAATGACTAATGAGTGTCTAATAGAAATATTGGAATAATATTTTACTCTATCCTTTTCTTTCGGCTCAAGAAATAATATTATTTCTTTGCAGTTTATGCTCCATTAGAACTAATGACAAATATTTACACCTATATTATATTGTATTTGGACGACGCCCTTTGTGTTTAGATTGTTGATATTTTGGGAATTGTGTGGTCTTCTCCGGTTTATCTTCTTGTATCCAGGGGTTCACTTCGTGTACATTGTATTGAACAAATACAGACAACCATTGTCTATAGAATTAGGTCGGGATAACTAATGACTATAACAAACATTTCCACAAGCACAACCAGTGCCCAACCAGTGTTTTACACACTTAAAAATGTTTCACACGAATAAGTATGATTGGAAGTACACAGACTAGCACCCAAAAATGTTTCTAACTGCTATTATATGTAAATTTAAGTGTGACATTAAAGTGTGGGGATAGCATTAAGAAATGGTTTAATTTCGAATAACAAATTCAATTGTGCTTCACTTTGAAGATTTTACTACATGGAATGAAAGTTTATGGCTTGTTCTGATTGGAATGAGTCGGGTAAAAGTTTGGTACAACGTGTATTCTATTATCCATGACTTGTGTGATCTGATTTTAAATATGATTTGTATAAATTTGGATGATCCCGTTTAAAGTTGAAAAAATTAATTCAAGCGAAAACATTTTTATATCCTAACTTCTAATCACAAATTGCAATTGCGTATTATAAGTTTGTGAATAAAGTTATGGATTTGCTCCCTTCAAAAAGCAGATTGTGCCTGATAAATGCAACCAAAATTCTATGCTTAATAAATGCAACCTAAATTCTGGCACTTTAATACCACAGTTCTTCAAATCTGCCTCTCATTTAATCCGGACAGAATTAATAAACTCCTAAGTACACACTACACCTACCATAACAATGGGACACCGCCGCTGGATAAGTTTGATGTCCAATGTATAATTTTGGGAAAACTATGGTTACGTACTTGTGGTTTGGGGTGTTTTCACTTAGGGGCATGGGATTCATTTCTTAACAACCACAGGCTCATGAATTTACTCCGTTATGTCACCCGGGGCACCCATCCATACGACGTTAGTTAGCGCTGACGTGGCATCATTTATTTGGCCACCTCACATCATTAGTTGGAATTCCATCACTTACCTCCTTTAATCTAAAATTTGGGTTTACCAACGAATTGAATTACAGGGTTGCCGCCGGTAAAGCGAAGTGGAAGTCGGAATAGAAGGACGACTTTGGTGGGGAAGTGAGATTAGAAGTCAGACCTCTTTCAGTTAGTAAGCGGCTTTTTAAGTAACATGCGTTTTTACTTCACCTGTTTCTAACTTAACTGTGACTTTAGCAGCGAAGTAAACACCTCCTTAGAAATCCAAATTATTCTCCTCAAATTTTTTAGATAAAATTCCTGAAATTTGAGTAAAAAAGTTTGAAAATTCTAAAATAGGGCTGCCATATTTTTATTTCTAAAATAGGAGTAATTGTTACCAAATTTGGAAAATACTGCCACGTTTAAAGTCTAGTATTGTCAAAACATGACAGTAATTAGTCTTATTTTGAAAATAAAAACATGATATTCATTGGGTAATTCCTCACTAGTTGCATTTATGTTCATTCCAAATTGAATTTCCCATTAAGTGTTTTTTTTTAAATCAACCATTAAGTATTCAACACCTAAAAGTGGGCGTTGAGCCATTGGCAAAACCCCTCTCGCTCTTGCATCTCTTCTAAGAAGTAGTGATGACAACGGGGCGGATCGGGGACGGGTACACATAAAACCGGAACCGCCCCGTTGGATAAATGTTTGCCCCAAAGTCGCCCCATTACCCATTCGGGTAATTTTTATTTGAACCGTACCCGCCCCAACGGGGAATCGGTTTATCCACGGGTAACCGTTTCCCCAAATGATACCAAATAACCAACTTTTTTTGGGAAAACAAATAATCAATTTTTAATCCTACTTGTTATTTATATATTCAAAGCACCCTAAAACATACAAAAATAAACATTTAAGCAATCAAGCAGACTGACCTAAATTCATTAGTATGACATGCACCCAATATCTCTTGTAACATAATAAAAAGTACAGAAATTACCCTAAATAGGAGTAAAAACGTTTTGAAATTCCAAAATAGGTGTATCATGTTTTTTATTCCCTAAATAGGAGTAATCTGCCAAGTTTGGAAAAAAATTCCATGTTTAAAGCCTTGTAATTTCCAAACTTGGCAGAAATTTACTCCTATTTAGGGAATAAAAACATGATACTCCTATTTTGGAATTTCAAAACTTTTTTACTCCTATTTAGGGAATTCTCTCTAAAAAGTAGTAATCATCCCAGAATCCAAATTTCAAAAATAGGTTTAGGCCTATATTTAGTTTTAGGCCTAAAAAAGTAGTATACTTTTTAGCATTATTTATATGATATATACTATTTATTATACACAATTTAGCATATATAGTTATTATTCTTATATATAAAAAGTTATAATTTATTAATAATGTTATCGATCGGGTAACGGTGCGGGTACCCGCACCACTAGTGAACGGGGCGGTTTCGGAGCGGATAACGGGGTGGATTAGTATAGAACCATAACCGCACCATTAACCATTTAAAAAATTCGGGTATTCCCCGCCCTGTACCCATTCCCCAGTTAAACGGGTTTTCTCCAGTTTGACCAAATCCATTCGGTGCGGGTCTCACTCATTCTGTAATCTGTATACCGATCATTATTAATTCGACGATGCTTTCTCTATCTAGAAACACTCTGATCATCCTTTTTCAAGCTGATGTCGGAGACGCGGTGATTTGAGCGAATTTTTCAGTTCGATTTTTGGCTCCCGGTGGTCTGAGGCCTTTAGGTTGGTCGAGGAAATGTATAAGAACCAGCTGCAAGAGCTGGCGCAGAGGAGCTGCTTCAACTTGCCGTCGTATTCCTGTATCAGAGAAGGCCCTGACCACGCGCCGCGGTTCAAGGCCACCGTCAACTTCAATGGCGACACTTTCGAGAGCCCTAACTACTGCTCCACGCTTCGCCAGGCTGAGCACTCCGCTGCCGAGGTTGCGCTCCATGCTCTAGCTAACGGTGGTCCTTCGCAATCGCTTGCTGCGAAGATCCTGGTGAGTTAGGGTTTGTATCTTATTTCAGCTACAACAGCCTTCTGTTGCTCATCTTATTAATTATTTGGCTTTTTGTAGTTTTTATTTCTTCCTTGCATTTTTTATTCGACTTTTGGTCATAACTCATAAATGCTTTTCTTAGCATGTGACCTAGAAAGATGTGAGAGAAAATTTGAAAACGTTTACTCACCAGGTCCCCATTTGAATTTTGAAGCTGCAATTTTGGTTCACTCTATACCACCACTTGAGTGTGAGGGATCACAGAATATACATTTAAGCTAATGATATAGCTCTTGGTCATAGTATCTTAGATCTTTAAAGAAACGATGGTTCTAAACCATTTGAAGTCAATGGACTAGCAAATTATCCTCACTTCTATTTCTTGCAGCTGATTGATTTGATTGGGATTTAGGATTGAGTAATATTCTTAACGTGGATAGGATAAAGTGTGTTCCCCATTCCCCAAAGACTAGTTACATAATTTGGTCCAGAAGGACCCATGTTTAGTGGAACAACACTATCTAATTCAAAATACTTAGTGTGTTTCTTTGGTCTAATCTGTCAACATAATGATTTAAAATCTTTCTTTTAGGATCCACTCTTGTAAATTGTTATGATTTATCCTGTGTGTGCGCTGCAACTCTGTAGTTAACAAAATTTGCAGGATGAAACAGGTGTATACAAAAATCTCTTGCAAGAAGTTTCTCAAAGGGTGGGAGCGCCATTGCCTGCATACACAACATACAGATCAGGTCTAAAAGGACATCTACCTCTCTTCACATGTACAGTGGTGTTGGCAGGGGTTACCTTTACGGGTGAACCAGCCAAAAATAAGAAACAGGCTGAAAAGAATGCAGCCATGTCAGCTTGGTCATCCCTAAAATTATGTAAGTGATATCCAAATCCATCTCTAGATATCTCACATTCTTGTTCCCCAATAAAACATAAATAATCAAATTGATACTACCTGTGTCCTCCTAAGTTTGGTACATGAGGAGGTGGTCCCGTAATTAAGAAAAATGAGTTTGTATGATTGGTATTGAACTCACAATGTAAGAGTGAAGTAAGAACCATATAGAACTACACAAACATTACCAAATTTGGTATAACACAATCTTATTGGATGGTTGTCCATGAGCCCATGACAATCATGTCATCGCACTATTGGTCTCCATCTTTCAACTTTTCCACTTTTGGTGCACCACAGTGTATTTTTTTTTGCTGCATTTGGCCTTTTCAGTTAAGTTTCTTATAAAAACAACCGAAAATTGGCAAAAGAAGTGATTGGAAGAATAAAAAGAGACAAAAATCTGTACTTATGCACCAAAAGTTACAACTTGAAAACTAGGAACCAATAATGAAATGAAAAGGACTTAATAGCAGTAGGACAAAAAATTAGTTTTTCATATGAATTTGGAAATAACTACTTCTAATATAACAAAATTAATTTTAAAATTTTAAAACTATTTTGTGGTGACTATTGTAATACGAAGTAATGAAGTATTTCCCAATCTTCGTAGTTTCTATCATTTTATTTATAATGCATGTTAAAGTAAATCATACATACAGTAATAATTTTTTAATATGATATACTAGTACTTGTAAAATCTGTATGTACTAAGGTATGTACTGAGTATTTTTATTTAAGAGTTGTTAATAATTATCTATTCTTTTTATAAGGAGTAAATATTCGTTGGCCATTTTTTTTAAATATATGAATGCATTAAATTTTAATGCACACCTTTTTTTGTTTTGTGGGCGGGTCCAGTGGAACAGCAGCAGTCAGAGAACTCAAATTTGAATTCACCTGATAAGGGGGGAATAAGGATAGAAGAACAAGAACATGTTACTGTAGCACGGGCTTTCCAAATATATCTGATTAGAGCTAGAGTTGCTGGATTGCCATTCCCAATCAGTTACCAGAGCACCTCCAATACCTCAAGGCCATCAACAAGTACACAACAACCTCTGCCTGCTACATCATCAAAGATACTACCCCTAATCCACCCAAGAACACATCTCGGTATAAAACCCCTGGTCCAAAGTAGACCCCCTTTGAATCCACCATCACCAATTATTATCCAACCAGTACAATCTTTTGCTGTGGGTGCCCCACCTTACATCCCTGTCCGGCATTTGACACCACTGCATCATAGAATTGCGCCTCCTGTGACTGTACGGAGTGCGATCCCAGTTTTTTCTGCACCGCCACGCCGACCACCTTCTCAGCCACCATATATGTATGTTAGACAAGGTGTTGTGCCAGTGTACCCTTCTCTCCCAGAACTACAGCCCTTTGTAAAGGAGCCACATCCATGATCCATCTAAAGCACCACTGGTTGGGGTTGAGGAAAAACCACACACTAAGTTAAATCCCGAACCCCCAAAAAAATCTGCTCCGAGGATATCAACTGACTCTCAGCAACGATAGTCTTTGGAAATGAAGAATATGAAGAAACTTAGTATATATGATGCTTCATAACAGTCAGCCAGGGCCCAGGGGTTATCACATTCTCTAGCCTTTTGTAATGCATCCCCACATGCTCTACAGATAAATGATTTATTTAGGTGGTAATATTTTATTGCTATCCATGTGTTCTTTTATACTCCAGCTGTTCCAAAAGGTTCTTTCCATTTTCTTTTTTGCTCATAATTTTTGTGTGTTCTCCTTTTAAAAAAATGAGATTGGTTGTTGATAACTTGATATCGTTTTCTCATTTTTATATCAACTACAAGTCTCCAACTGCAGCTTGTATCAAATCAAACACGCAAAAAATTTTGAGACTAACGGCCTGTTTGGATTGAGTGTCGGGAGGTGTTAGTAATGGAAGTGTTAAGGAGTGTTGAGCTCAACACTTGTTTGGGTGAAAAATTAAAAAAATTTAGAAGTGTTAATAAGTGTTTGAGGGTGTTAATGAAAACCTTCTAACACCTATGTCCATCACTTTTTTAACACCCCAATTTGGGGTGTAATGAAGTGTTGAACAACCTTTGCCCTCTAATTCTTCTTCCACAGCCAATACGGTTCTTCTTCCGCAGCCAATACCGTTCTTCTTCCTCAGCCAAAGACCGTTCCTCTTCTTCACCTCTTGTGCCTCTTCTTCGAACAGGAATGTTCTCCTTCCAGGTTTGTCTTTTCTTTTTCCCAATCCTTCGCCTTTGTTCGTTTGAGTGGACCTTTATCAATTGCATACGAAAGAAAACATTGACGGAGTATTATATTTGCTGATGCTACATAGAATATTTGATAATGGAAAAGTTGTATATTGATTCTTCTCGGGAAAAGGTGCAAGTAGGTCCATGTACTAACCAAAAAAGATCAAATAAGCCCTTATTTAGGAGGTTCTGTCCGGCCGTCGTCATTTGGGGTAGTTTCCGGTGGAATTTTTTGATGAAATTTTTTGAGCATCTTATTCATCAAGTCTAGTTTACTCAAATCAAATTTCAGCTAAAATTTCAATCGGGAAGGCATTCAAATGAATTCTTGAAGATAACTGTGCTTCTAAGTGTGCAGTCATTTTCAAGAATTTATTTGAATACCTTCCCGATTGAAGTTTTAGCTGAAATTTTGTATGAGTAAACTAGAGTTAATGAATAAGATGGTCAAAAAATTTCATCAAAAAATTCCACCAGGAACCAACCCAAATGGCGACGGCCGAACAGAGCCTCCTAAATAAGAGCTTATTTGACTTTTTTTTGTTAGTACATGGATTTGAATACGTAGTATGATTGACTTGAATGCTACGGAGTATCATCATTGTTGATTAAACTTTGTACTATGTATATATGACGGTTATTATAAAACACATTAAGTATGAGGATATTTTTGTCAATTTAAATGGAAACGACTTCATTACTAACACTTCATTTTTTTAACTCTCCCAAGTCCCAAACAGGGTAAGATTATGTGTAACACTTCCCTTCCCTTCCGACTTCTGAGTCCCTACCAACACTTACTAACACTTCCATAAATTTCCATTACTAACACCTTCCAACACTTCATCCAAACAGGAGAATATTAAAATTTGATAGGTATTTCTCCCTCTTACAGCAGCTTGCAATGATCTAGCAAGTAGTCTATATAAGTAGTCTCTGAAAAGTGAAAAAAACAATTGAGAATGATGCACTTTTTTCTTCGGATTCTCAACAATCTGAAACGTCTACATTTTTTTCACAAAGCATCATTTGTTTTTGGTTGTATATACGATTGTATATATTACCCAATGCTGCAAGTGATGCAAATAAGCAAGGCCAGACAATAAATTTGCTAACAAAAAAGTAGAAAAATGCCTTCCAAATTACGATGAAAGTTACAAGGCCAGTGAAATACAAGAGATTCGGTGTTGAAGAAATAAATAGCCAAGAAAACACTAAATGTTTCGTTTGTATAGTAACGGAACATGAAGTTCACAACGGTCAATGGACAAGTTTCCACGCTTTCGCCATGATCTCATCATCTACATAAGGTCGCAGTGACCACATTAGACAGTAGGTGTCCAGCTCTCCGGTAGACGTCTTGAGGTTTAGAGATGAAATGATCTTTTCCTGGAAGAAGAATGTCACAATATGAATAATATAAAGGCCATTGTGGATAAAGAAGCAATCATTTTACCTGCATCACATAGTCTTTCTTAATCATACTGCATACTACAGCCATCATCATAGCAATGTCAATTACTTCAGACTTCAGAACACCGGAAGCCACCTCCTCCTGTACATCATCGTTTAACAAAGGGGATGGTAACATGACCCACGTGGTACAATAAAAGTTTCCAGTCAAACACTTAAACCTAAGAACCATCGATTTTGAAACTGGATCTGCATTGAAGTGAGCTAAAGTCGTTCTACTAAGGTGCTAGTTTAGAACTGAGCTTCTTTGTAAAATAATAATAAGCATGATTGATGATAATACTAATAATAATACTCTGTATTAGTTATAATAATAGCTATGATGATGGGGTAGTAAACATAGATGAATGTATACTAAAATATGCAATGCACTCATGTTTTTTGTGCTATTAGTACGAGTATTATTCTTATCAAATTATTTGAATAACTATTTTAACTAGTTTGTAAATTCTCTATTTATGAATAGTAACTTGTAAGAATATTATTCGACAATTGTAAATATAATTTCATTTTATTTATTTGGGAACCTTTTAATTTAATAATCTTAATAGATTATCCATTATTACTTATCCAGTTAATAACGAAGTCATAATCTATAAAGAAGAAACCAATTAACCGGAAGCCGGTTTTAGAACCAGATATTTGGAGACGGGAACTGCCGGTTCCAATTTGGAATCGTGGACACGTCTACACCAAACCACATATTTCGAGACATAAAAGGAAAAGTACGGAATAAAATTAGATCAAGGCAAACAGGCTCACCTCCAAAAAATCTGCTTTAAAGTCCAAACTGCGGTTAATATCTCGATCAATTGTAGTGCAAGGCAGACTATAATTTGCACTTCGCACTACAGCTTCAGCATCATTCAGAAGGCAATCCAGTTCATCCATCAAGTATTTTGCTGCAATAAACCATGCCACAATAACTTGTGGTTCATGCACTATAACCTAATAATTACTCCCTCCGTCCCCGAAAGAAGTTCCCGTTGACTGACGATAAAGCAACTCGATTCCTGTTCATACTCAGATTATTTTTAGTAAATAAAAATTTACATATTCAGAAACTAGATTGAAACCGCTACAAAGCCTGACCAAGAAAATTTAAATTTGATAAAAATTTGATATATAAAGTAAAAGATTAAGAGTGACTTAAGTTGACCAATGAATAGCGAATGAAAACTTCTTTCGGGGACGGAGGTAGTATCAAATTACAACAATTACAACAACAACAACTAAGCTTTATTTCCAAAAGATTTTGGGGTCGGCTAACATGAATCGATACATGACATTGGAACCAAAAGTAAAAGAAAGATAATAAAAATAAAAAAGATAAGCTATGATAAAAAAGATGATATAAAAGGAGACAAAATATACGTAAAAAAGATAGAATAAAAAGGATAAAAATACTTCAACTAACTAGCAAAGATATAGTCAAGGTGATAATCACAAAAGGAGAAGCACCGGTTATTGTTTATACTTTGTGTTGATATGATACATATTAAAATAGAACATCCTATGAATGAAGATCACATATTCCTAAATATTTGATATAAGTCATATAACTAAGTAGGTGCTCATATTTACAATATCAATTTAAAGATGAATATGAGAAACACTAAATGTATTTATATAATACATAAGAGTATTAAAATAGAATAGTAGGCAGGGATCTGAACCTATGAATGAAAACCACATATTCCTACATACTACGTATTTGATAAAACTAAGTAGGTGCTCAGGTTACGAATATCATTTTAAAATGAATATGAGAACCACTAAACTGTTAAGAAACTGAAAATAGTTCTTAAAAATGTGTTAAAGTGAGTCCATTAGTGTAAGATTTGATGTTTTTGCAAGGTGCGTAGTACCTTGCATCTTATGATCCTGGAGTCCTTGGAGGCACACATGCACTTCTGCAACCACAAGACAGAAGGTCATGAAGATTGAATCTTATGATCAGTTTGGATGGAGTCTTTTGGAGGGTTTAGCATATATTTTCTTAATAGATATAAGAAAAAGAATAACATGTGATTGGAGAATTATACCATCACATATGACTCTAATCATTAATTCATATGAAATCCCGAATATACATCAAGATATAGAATAACTTCATTGTAGCGCATCCCTACAAAACCCTCCATCCAAGCAGACCCTTACAGAAAACACCCCCTCTAGCAAAGGGAAAAGGTGTTGGCAAAATGTCAAGCAACACCAGTTAATGAGCTAATGTAAAACTCAAAATTGCTCCATGAAATCTGTTATGTATTACATATTACACATCTGGTCAAGCCAACAGATTGGACATTTGGACTTGTGCATGAAAAAAATTAGATAGAAAAACATGTAAGCATGGTTTAACAATTCTATCATGCATGCTTTGGAAGCTTATAAACATGTTTTCTTTTTGTGTCAAGGGAAATAAGAAATGTTAAAGTAACATGCACTCCTTGCATCCCAAAGATAATGTCTCAAACATGATTTTAGGAAAATATATTAACAAAAGCATCTTTATTTTGGTCCACACGTTTTGTTAGTGTTTATTTAGAAAAAACATCTTGAATTTGGTCTGATCAGTTTTAACACTTTTAGGAAATGGGACAGTAAAAATGGAACGTAGGACATCATCTTTGAGGCAAGGGGGTCATTGGAACCTAAACTTTTTCCATACAACTGATGGGGATTACATGTTATTTAAGCTGAAAAAAGCCATCATAAGATAGCAAGAGCCTCTGAGAACCTCACGTGTACTGTACTTGTAAGTTATAACTTTTAAGGTACACTAATAAAAGGGGAAAAAAGTATGTACTCTTCCTATCCACATATAATGGAGGATAAAAAGGCTATATATGCATGGTCTACATAAAATATATGAACACATGAATCATGAGAATTAGGTGGTGTTCTCTTAACTATCTGTTTTCCTCTTTAAAAAAAATATGTTTTCCTTATTGCATATTCTTATTTAAATCAACCCAAACTACAAACATTCAGTCAGACCATACTGGAAAGATTCATATTGGACCAAACTAGATGCCAAATGAGATCCAAATGTTATATTTCAGAGAAGAAAATTCGACAAGTTTAAAAGCGTTCCAATCAGATCAGACTACCTGACCAAAGGGATCCAAACCACATCATACCACACAGATTTTTTTTAGATCAGGTCACATTTTTCAGGCAAAGTTAACATGTCCTTACACTTGTTTATACTATTAATACTGTCATTGGTATTCTTGCATCCAGCTTCAATATAAGATACCAGTCTCTTGGTTTGATTAGCTTTAAGAATGAACTCAACCAGCTCAGATTTCTCTTCAATCTGAGGCCTTCGAACATACTCTGCACGACACAGACATGCAGGAGTAAAACAAAAAAGGTGACACAGAAAGTTCATTCATCCATTACTCAAATATATCCATGGGGCTTACCAAGTCCTTGCTGGAAGCCAACTAGCATTCTGTTTCCTACGGATGCTAGTTCCTCAATTTTTACAATCCTGAAATTATAGTAGTTAGGCATGGAAAAAACATACTACGTATACACCATTTCTTCCTATTTATATGTCTAGGTTGACCACTCTTTTCTGTTCCTTTTAATCATAAATAGGAGGATGACATTAAATGACTTTTTTGGGGAAAGCATAAAATTTTTATCATTTCAAGCACAATATCACATTCTCAAGCTGCTTTTGTTGGTTACAATTTATTTTAAAATTTTTAACCTTGCCATAAATTCTGAGAAGATCTCCAAGATCTTTTTGCCGCACTCATGCATTGGCTCATCTTCTTGAATTTCCATTCTGAAAGAAACATAGCCGGTTCATATTATTTGCACATGTCAGAACTCAGAAAATACAATCTTAAAGAAGCAAGCAGCAATCAACACAACAGAGGAGATAGCATACGAAGAAAGCCAGAAGTATCATAAATAGTTACTAGGTGTGTTTTGCACTCTACAGAAGCAATAGATTGTTCAAGTGGCCGGACCAGTGTGTAAAAAACAATGGTTCAATTGGTGTAACTGGTTGATATGGTCGTCTAAACAGATTTCCATTATAAAATATACTGCCTCCATTTTTATCTACTTGGAACATTTTGACTTTCATGCTTTTCATCACACTACTTTGATCATTAAGTAATACTCCGTATAATTGAATATTATAAAAATTATTCAAAAGATCATATTTTTAAATTTTACATTGAGAAAATTTTAACAGTCTCTTTCATAATATAATTTCTAATACATTAAAGAATAGAAAAAATTCACATAAATAATCTCAACTATTAGCGGTCTTCCAATATTAACATGAAATCTGCATAATACTAAAATAATCTAAAATTTACGGCTAATCTTCCCCGATGAATCCCAGGTGACCTGACACACTTACTAATCCAGTAAAAAAACAAAAACAAAAAAGAGGTGAAAGCAACAGTTGTCCCTTCTGCTTTCAAGCATTGGGTGATTGGGTCTGAGACCCTAGTCGCAAACTCGAAATGGGTATCATTCTGGTATTCAACAACACCACTTCTTTTCCTCTTTTACCTCTAGAAGATTTAATTGAAGCTCGAAAGGTCAGTAAGTTTAAAATGCCATCTATAAAACAAAGAAACAAACAAAAACAGATATAGGGTTGTTCTCTACACTTCTTCAGAGTAAATTAATAAATGCCGCTAATCAATTGAGAATAGAAATCATACACACAATTTTAAGTTATCAACTAATCAACTAAAGCTTTCAATATAAAAGGGAATAATCGAGATTTGTGTATGCTTAAATTACAAAAGGCCCAAATTACGAAAGATTTAGGATGAACAAAGAAAGACACCAAAAAGAGCATTACAATTTATAGAAATCTAAGCATGAAAAAAAATGAGAGGATTCCTAAGTAGCATCTCTTCGAGCACCTTGCAGGAATGACCCAATTGTGGTATGGATGATGAGTGATGACATTACAACTGAAACCGTGACAAAAAATACCTGACTAGGTTTCAATTGTTGAATATGGGGGTATTGCTCATGCATAATCCTTGACTGTGAAGTAGTAGCATAAGGTCGAAAAAAAGAAAAAGGAAACAATGGAAAAGTAATACAAGAAATCAAAAAAGAAATATTAAGAAAATCATTTTGACCAATCGGAACAAAACACGTGGTCAGGTGACATGTTGAATGAGTTTTTGCAAGTCACCAGCTTGTTTTGAGAATATGGGAAGAATAAAATATGGGAAGAAAACTGATAAGTTGGATCGTTAATGTGAACTTTTCCTGATAAATAAAATGCGGTCAAAGCAGCAAAAGTAAAACCATTGCAACTAAAAAAGAATAGAGGTAGTATAAGTATGCATAACATGCGTAGAGCATGGCGTATAAAAATGTCCAAAGTGAAAACAACCAAATACATGACTTCAACTTAACCAAATATTATTAGCAATACTTATTGTTAAATAGTTGGCTTAAAAAACATGAATGCAACACTAAAGAAATCAACTTGTTAGTAATGAGTAATCAAATAAAAACCTTAACTTGTTAGGGGAATGACCTTCTTTCCCCTAAAAAGTTTCATAATATCTTTATGCAAATACAATTTCGCCTATAAAGATGAAATAGTCAAACTTCTAACAACACGGGGCTTTGGCTTGTTTAATTTCTAAAAACAGACCCCTAAAGAAATCTGTTGAAACTTGTCTGAGACCAAAGGGGAAACCGCTCAAATCCATAGCATGAAATTAACAATTTAAGAACAGTGACTACTAGCTAGAACTCTCTAAGCATGAAAATGGATTAGACTTTTAGGCTTTTAGCACACAATTTCAATCTAAGACCTGAAGATATGTTAGCTACTACCTCCGTCCTAAAATGATATATGATATATGATATACGATATATGATATATGATATCTGAGATCTTTATATATCCCCACATTTGTTCTCTCACCAGTTCTCGTAAGATTTCAATATCTTTCGAGAAAATTCTGAGACAGGAAAGAAAGACTTCAACACTTTCAGCTCACACATTAAACTCAGCTGTTTTGAACAACTAATGGCTAGGTTCAACGCTTCATCATTGTTTTCCAAAATGATGTTAAATAGTTCAGAAAAAATTAAAGCCAGACAATTTGTGACCCTTATAGCCAGCTAAGAGTGTAAATGTATATGGACTTGGTTGAATAATTCAGCCAAACTACCAAAACACAGCAGGTTACCCCAGGAACATAGCCAAGATAGATATTCAGGGGGACAGTTCTTAAATAAACAATTATATTCAAAGAATTGAGTAAAAAGTGGGTTTTCCAATTTCATCTCTTTTATCTAACGGCTAGTGAATTATTTTATCCATTTTCCCGCATCCCGCTAATTTTCAACCGCATTAAAAAACAAAATACTCTTGAATCGTACAAATATTTGGAGTATCAATCAAGTTATTTAACTGTCATCATTTTTCTTTACTTGTATTATGCCTAAAAATCTAATGCAATGTTGTTTTCATTTTTAAAAGTAAAGTGTAAATCCATAACTACTTAAATTGACGAAATTAAAGATATATTCAACATATTATCAATCACATAATTCATATTAATAAAATGATATGGTACGAAATTTAGTAATTCACTGTCCCTAATTACAAAATTCACAAATAAAATCACACAATTAATAACTTAATTAAAAATCCACAATAACTCCACACTTCACAAAATTATATTACTATATTAGTAAGATGAAAATTTCAACATATTAGGTGAATTTGATGAATATATTAGAATTTAAAAAGATTACATACTTTAATTAAAATAAAAAAATCAAAAAAACTTACCTAAGGCAGTGGCGGCCGCCGGTCAGCGTCCTGGGTGGCTGAGCGGGAAGGCAGTGGGCAGCAACCTGCGGCGGGAAGCGGTGGACTGGGCGACTGGCGGAGAGGCGGAGCAAGGATCTGGGCAGCCGACGGAAGCGGAGTAGGGAGGCGCAAACGCAGTCACCAACCTTTGAGTTCGCGGGTGCAGGGGGCAACCTAGGCGGATTGCAGGTTTTGGGTTGGGCAACAGGTTGGGGTTTAATGCACCAAACCCCCGTGATTTGGAAACTCGGCACATTAGTCTCTTGTGATTTAAAAAATGTGTCAAACCCCATTGTGTTTTAATTATTTGAAAATTAATTTTTCTACTATTTTGATTGAATATGCAAATAAATATGTCAAAATCTCTGAATCATACAAAAATGTTAATCAATTTTTTATTTGACAATTTAATTTGTTAACATAAGGGATTTGTCGCATGATTAATTAAAACACATGGGGGTTTGATGCATTTTTTAAATCACAGGGGGCTAACGCGCCGAATTTTCAAATCGCATGGGGGTTTGGTGCATTAAACTCCAACAGGTTGTGATTTGGCCCGTGGGTTTCGAGTTTAATGCGTGAACTTAAGTAAACATAGTGCAATGTAATAAAGTAAACCTAAGTTTTAACAAAAACTAGGTTAACCTAGGTGAATTTGGGTTCATGCGTAAAATAGTATTGGAAATAAATAAGGCGAACCTAAGTTAATGTAATAAATGATGTTTGGATGAAGTTACACTAGCTTATTTTATGTCAAACGAGAATTTAACCTCCAAAACCCCTCACTTCGGAAGTTCTTCAATTTAAGATTTTTCTAGGTTCTCGGGAGTTATGTGAGGTTAACCTCATAACCTAGGTTCTTGTTGCAAAAACACAAACAAACGAGGTTAACTAAAGATTGAACCTGCAATAACCTAGGTTAACCCCAAACAAACATGCCATAAGTGGGCTGGCCCATTATATAGTTTTGACTTTTAATCTTCATAATTGTTCTTTTACTACTAAATTATTATAATTACAATAAAAAAATACAACCATTGCAAAACAATTATTATTTCTATAATAAATATTCAAATAAAATGTTGAAACATATGTTATGTGAAGTTTGATACAATATTTAGCAATTACTAATAATCATGATTTACAAATAATCAATCAAAAGGTTTAAATAAATCTTTATTTTTATACAATGAGTATTTTTGTTACATACCCTTTTATAGTTTCCAAATTCTCGTGTAACTAGTATTTAATATTTTTATAATTAAACTTAACAAGTATTCGGTTCTTAGTATTTTGATTTCTTATATTTCTCTTTATTATTACTTACTAATATAAATATATACTCTAGGGTAATTATTTTTAAGAATCTTTTGTCATATTTTTTTACATTGGCCCGCGGGCCAACCCATTTAACCCATGGGTTAGGTGGATTGGGTTAGAGTTGTAGAAATTCTGACCCATCATTAAACGGGTTGGCCCGACCCAGCCCACATAAAGCATAACCATTAAGGGTCGGGTCGGGTTGGGACGGTTTGGCCAGTTTGATAGCTCTATTTGAGAGTTGGTTTTGCTAGTGTTTTTTATATTTGTTAATCTTTGGATTATTAGCTAAATATATCTCTAACTATCATGAAATTCACAAATCTATCCCATACTATCACTTTTATTAAAAAAAAAGACTCACTTCAACTTTTCACACAACTACACCTTCAATGGACAAATAAGTAAACATTAAGAAGAAAATTATATTTATATTTTATATTTTTTCGCTTTTTTCTAGTTGTAAGTTTACAAAATTGTATTGCTTATATCTTATTGGTATTAATAAAAATGTGTAATTTTGAAAAAACAAAAAGAAAAGCATAATTGTTGAAAAACATGAAGTTCGAGTCTTTTTTTGATAAAATTGAAAGTCTTGAATAGATTGGTGCATTTGATAATAGTTTGGGATAAAATAAGCTAATAATCCTTAATCTTTTTATAGTTTGTTTTTTGAAAAAGAAAAAAACGGTTTATATTGAAATAATTGAATCCAAGAAAACAACAATAACACCAGACATTAGAGACAAGCAAGTAAGATTAGAAAACTAGCTCGGTTATATGTTCAAATATATTTTTAAAAATAGTTGCGCAGTTGATATATATAAACAGCGCAGTATTTTCCAGAAAATCATTTGACTGCCTTCCCGATTGTATTTTTAGCTGAAATTTGTTACGGATAAACTAGACTTAATGAAGAACATGCTCAAAAAAATTCATCAAAAAATTCCACCAGGAACCGCTCCAAATGGTGACGGCCGGACGGCGGGTCCTGTCCCTTCGGGTGGACAGGATCATTACTATATATATATATATATATATATTACTATATATATAGTAATATATATATATATATATAGAGAGAGAGAGAGAGAAAGAGAGAGAGAGAGAGAGAGAGAGAGAGAGAGAGAGTCATGTTCCTATCAGGAGTTCCTGAAGAGTAGGCCCGTGCGGACAAGCCCATCAGAGGGTCTTCCCGGTAGAATTTTTTGATGAAATATTTTGAGCATGTTCCTCATTAAGTATAGTTTATCCATACCAAAATTCAGCTCAAAATTCGATCGGGAAGGCAGTTAAATAAATTCTAGAAACATACTGCCATTATATGTACGCAGAATGCTCAGTAGTTTTCCAAAATTTATTTGACTGTCTTCCCGATCGAATTTTGAGCCGAATTTTGGTATGGATAAACTAGACTTGATGGAGAACATGCTCAAAAAAATTCATCAAAAAACTCCACCGGGAAGACCCTCTGATGGGCTTGTCCGCACGGGCCTGCTCTTCAGGAACTATGTATATGAACTGCATTCTCTCTCTCTCTCTCTCTCTCTCTCTCTCTCTATATATATATATATATATATATATATATATATATATATATATATATATATATATATATCAAACATTTTATTGTGATTTTTCGATATCAATATTACATATGTTAAAAAAATCATGATCATGTTTTTAAATTTCGTATGAGGAACGACTATTAAATGTGCATTTCACTAAAGTACTTCCTCCGTCTAGTCCTGGACTCGGGCCGGGTGGCCCGACCCGGAATCGGTCCGGGACCGATACTATGTTGAACCGGTCCGGGTAGGCCCGGCCCGGGGGGTTCCCGGTGCGGGCTCGAGTCACCCAAAGCCGAACTGGCCCGGCCGGTTCGGGCCCAGTTCCAGGCCTTTTAATTTTGTTTTTAACTTTTCAGGTTGGGTTGAGTATTTTGGACCATTTGGGGTGGTTTGGGGGGTTGGGGGTGGGGGGTTAATTAGGAAAAGGAAAAAAAATTGACCCGAGACTCGGTCCGGACCGGACCCAGACCGGCCCACCTATCCAGAACCGGCGGCCCGCCCGGCCCAAATCCAGCCCTACCTCCATCCCTTAAAATTTTCTCATATTTATTTTTGTTTTGTCCCAAATTATCACTTTCCCTTTTTATAAATTAATTTGTGATTTCAATTATTTCTCTCACATTCGCACAAACCTCAAGTACACAGTTTTGATATTATTCTCCGCATGGCGTTCAAATTTGGCAACCGTTAAGGGACGGATGGAGTATTAATTTAAGAGACATTAAATTATGAGAAGGCACAATTAAAATTTTGAAGTATACATATTAATTTGATAGAAATTCATATATTTTGGAAACATTAATTTATATTTATAATGTCAATAAGGATGTTTTTAATTAGATCGATTTTTTCTTATTTGTCTAAGTTTAGTATAATATAACGGTCAAAAAAAGTTAGTATAATATACTCCGTAATATAATTATCAAAGTCTAGTCTCGTCTTATTTAACTTGGTCTATTTTAAGTCTAATATGGGTCTAAAACTGGTTTAATTAAACATTGTTAATAGTCGATCATAGTTATAGGAATAGGAAATTACATAACTGAACATATGAAATACATTGCGTTACAAAATATTACAAAGTTGTTAGGAAAAATCACGACAAAAATTCACTAATTTAGATTTTAGAAGTCATTTTTCTTCTTCAAAGAATCTCACAAAAAAGAAGGGAAAAATTGGAAATCCAAAAGTTCTGAGACACCAATTATTGAGAGTCAATTCTTTTATTCTTTTAATGGCAAAAATGACCCAAAATGGAATTTGAATTTTCCAAATTAAGCGTTTGGGTTTCCGAAACGAGGAAACATGAGCCGCGAGAAGTTTGTTAGATCAGCCAAGCTAACTGGTGCGGTTCTAGCTCATCCATTTGATCAATTGGTAGGTCGGACATCGTTGAGCCAATATTGCAACACACATATTCCAGGCCTATTTCAAGGAATCGGAATCAGGCTGGCTATATAACAGCAACTTTTCCAATTCCAGATTGATTTTGTATCAGCTCCAGGCAACAATATATATGAGCAGTTTTTTAGTCATCTAGGAACCATACACATAGAAACTACATATAATTGCCATGCGTCGGGATAATAAGTCAGATCAGAGAGACTCTAATTCAGTAATCTGGTCTAACGTATCAAGCATTTAAAGAATAACATTAAACCAAATAGCTTCATGTTGCCAGATTGATATGGCATATATTTATTTAAACATTTCATTTACATCTTCGTCCCACTGTTAGATAATGGGACATCTATCCACTAGGTCAAGCTGGCTTTGTCCAATCCAACTTTGATCTGTGCTCCTACAGAGTCTAAACTTGTACTCCCTTGTCAGTTCCATATCTTTCGCGCACACAAAGCCTGTAAAATCCCACACAAGCAAAAAGTGACTCTTCCAGCACCTTATGCGTTTCTCTTGTTTTTAAGGGCATAAAGTTACGACTACGCAGACATGCAAAAATTTACTTGCTGAATAGACATTTTAAGCATTTAAGCAACAGTATTCATACAGAATGGTGTAATGGTATTGTATAAGAAATGAGCTTACCCTATCGACGGATTATATATACACCTTGATCAGTCTTCATTAGCCTCACGTTCAGATTCATCATCAGGGTTTTCCTGAATCTTCACTTTCACTTCCATCACTTGTAATGTGACAGGATGTGTGGGGGCACTCCCTACGATCCCAAATGAACAATGAATTAATAGTGCACATATAAATAATGCATGTATGCTAGTATAAATTATGAGATGCCAGTCTACTTCTGGTTTTTGACTCAAGAGCTATAAGACGCTATGCCTAACCTGCAACACTAATTGTATGTACTAG